TGCGCAACTTTAAATATATATAGACAACACGTTCTACTTAATTAAATAGTTTTTTAAATACATTTTTCTCCTAAAACATCAGAGTGCAGGGCCACATTAAATACGCACTACAATGACAATAGTTTAAAGCGATTTGAAGCATGTTTTTTTTTGGGGGGGGGGGGTGGGCAGAGCTTTGTGACGTCATATTTGAGGGGGGGGTCTGACTTTTTGTGACGCCGTGTGACGAAGGGGGGGGGGTCAAAAGTCGTCCAAAATCGCGTGACGTCATTTATGGACGGCCCCATAGGCGGAGTTTGACTTCTATATTTGGGGGTCGCAGGGGTTCGCTTTATCCCGTGGGTGCATACAATTGTAAAGTACTGAAAATAAATTAATAAAGGCAATGCCGCCCCCCCCCCCCAAACTCCACCCACGCGACACGCCGTCAGCTTCACTCACAGCGCACGTCAAAGATCCTGCGATAGCATTCGCAAGCGTGGAGGCCCTCGCTTCGTGCCAGTGTCGCGGCCCAAAGTCGAAAACGATGCAACAACTTACTCAACTGGGGTTACGCAGCAGCAGCAGCAGTAGCAGCAGCAGCAGCAGCAATCATCGGAATCGTTGTTGGTGTCTTAAGTGTGACTCCATCTCAACACGACGATGCACAGAAACGGCGGGCACGTTAATTTTTACGGAGAGACGGGAGGCAGTCGGTCATAGGCGGAGGGAATTTTAGGAAACTTCATTGATCCCGGGCTTGATGAGCGGTTTACGTGGAGTTGCGACAGCACGGGCAGCTGCGGGAGAAGGGAGTTCACCCAGGCTGCGTGGACAGCGGAGGAGAATAAGCATTGGGTGAAGGTTGACTGAGAGATTGAAGAGAAAGCCCTGATTGTTGGCCTGTGCTTCACAGGCTTTACGCATGGCGCATGCAACTCGACACGCAATGGGCATCCGAGTCGCCTTCCTCATGTTACAATGGATTATCAGGATTTTTGGTGGACATACAATTCAACCAATTAGTTATTTATTTTTTGCGGCCTTGTTTGTTTTGTGTCCGCATCATTTCCCGTCTCGTTTTCTACCGTCACGTCCCACCGCGTTATCTTCCACGGTCAACGAGCAGCATATTATTGTTTTCGTATGATCGCAAACTTTTGCTCCTGCACGCACGCGATCCGACGCTTCGCACTACAAGCTAGTTATACCGATGAACCGTTTCGTTTGTTAAGCTTCTTTGAGCCAGTTGGACAGGATTGGGCAAAGCCTCGCCAACTTTTCACCCAGGCAGCTGGAGAGCACAGGACTAAGTCTTACTCGCCTAACATTAAAACTAACAATAACATTCGATTTAAAGCTTTCGTGACTGCAAGGATTCATCTTCTTTGGTTCTTTCGGTAAAGTCACGTAGAATGAGAATAAAATAATAAATTGATCAAATAAAATAACACAATAAAATTCTCACGACGTTTCGGCCACAACACAAGGGGCCTTCATCAGGTGAAGGGACGAGACTGTAGACAGTCTCGCCCCTTGTGTTGTGGCCGAAACGTCGTGAGAATTTTATTGTGCTATTTTATTTTATCAATTTATTATTTTATTCTCATTCTACGTGACTTTACCGAAAGAACCAAAGAAGATAAGAATAACATGTTTAAGAATGACAATTAATAGACAAACAGTATATTTATCTTGACTTAAAGCTTTCATGACTGCAGGAATTAATATTCTTTCGGTCTTTCGGTAAAGCCACGTAGGTAGAATAATAATAAAAAAAAAATATCAGGACATTTCGATCGCAACACAAGCAATCGTCATCAGGTGAAAAAATATAGCGAGAGAGCTGCTGAGGCAGGAAGAAATATGATATATGTTTTATATATCATATTAATATTTTTTTCACATTAAAAAAAGATATTTTTTCCTGCCTCAGCAGCTCTCCCGCTATATTTTTTCACCTGATGACGATTGCTTGTGTTGCGATCGAAACATCGTGATATTTTTTTATTTTTTATTATTCTTCTATCTACGTGGCTTTGCCGAAAGACCCAAAAAATAAGCATATATATACTTTTAAAAAGAATAATGAATAAACTTCAAATCTCATTTATGTGCTTCAAACTATCCAGGACACTGTGGTGTAATATATTTTTTACACATGATCCAAGGTCAAAGTGATTTCCGGCTCGAATGAGCATTCGGGCGAGGAATTGGTGCTCACCTCCCCTTTACATCCCTGAGCGGGTGGTGGAAATTTGACATTACTATGACGGGGGAGAGGTGTACCCATAGGACAACTGCTGCCGACTTCACCGCAAAGTGGCACGTATATATCAACCCTGAAGGGGGCGGATAATGGGCTGAGTAAAACCCTCCCCCCCCCCCACAACCTTCCATTTGCAAGCTGGTTCCTCTTCCCGCTGAGCCACACCAACCTCCCGGCCGGCTTCGCACCGCACAACAACATCCATCCAAACTCGGCGCATTTAATTCAGACGCTTCCACGCGGGCGTCGGGCTGTTCGCTCCGTTCACTCCGGGGCTGATCCCTACAAAGCCCCCCCCCCCACCCCTCCCGCCGCACGGCAACGTCGATCAAAGCGACCCCGAGGCCTCTCCGCATCTCTGCAGCGTTCCGAGCGCATTATCTGTCAAGGTGGGGTGAGGGGAGTGGGGGAATGGGGGGGGGGTGTCTCACGTGTCGCTGCCTCTTGCACGACAGCCGGGGCCACCGGGGAGTGGTGTGGAGCAGGGCGGGGGGGGGGGGTCGTGACCCCACGGCTCCGCAGTGAGAATAGCGGGGGGGGGTGGGGGGGTAGGGGAGTGATGGCTCTGAGACGATGGCCACATGAAAAAGTCCACCGCTGTCACGACCACGGCGCTGACCTCACGCCTCTTACTTCCTCAGCCAGGATATGACCTGACCAGCACGCTGGCCGCTGTACTTGCACAAAAACCCTGCCCCTAACTCTTTACACTATAACCCCAACTCTAGTACACTGGTCCTGACCTGCCTTAACCCTAACCCAGCCCATGAATCGTTAAACTAGGCTCGAGTTCGGCCGTAAACCTAACCAACCCTAGGACCAAGCTGTTGACGCGTCCTTCCCATAACCATGACAGCTTAAGGGGGGGGGGGCATTTACTCTCAAAGGTCCTCCACAGATTGCTTTAAGAACCCACTTGCGGGCCAGCGGGAGAGAGAGGAGTGCATGATTAGTGGCAGGCAAGTAGAAATGTACGCCCTCCTGCACCCTCTGTGAGGTGTTACGATGCAGGGGGTGTCACGAGTTCCGTCTCCGTTCGGTTACAATTTTCGGCGCAACGCGAGCTCGTCGTCGATTGCATGCAGTTCGTGAAAGAGGTGAACGATCTCACGATCTCCATCCCCCGCGTAGACGACGCGCGGTGCGCGCGTATCGTGAGCGTTGGGGACCGATCTCGATCGATGCCTCGCGGGAGCGCTCGTGGACGGGCGGCGCGGGGGGGGGGGGGGGGTGGTCACGGGGTACGGGTCATTGGGGTCGGTGTGGTGGTTGACGAGCTCATGTTAAGTCAAGACGACGATGACGAGAGTGGTTGTCAACACAACGCGTATTCCCGGTCAGTTTTGTGTACAAAGGAGAAAGGAAAAACTGATTTCGTTGAGCCCATCCATGCGGACCTTTTGCATTCTATAACCTCGTATCGGTACGTTTGCTATGGGTAACCCAAGCATCCTCAGACATGGAGCCAAATTCCCACTGAAGATGAATTTCGCCAGACATTCCAACGCCGCAGGGACAGGATCCTCCTGCCTGAGACTCGGCAAGGCATTCCCGGGTAAATAAATGACATCCGAGTGTTTATTTATTATTTGTACGACGCATAATCTCGGGATGCCGCATGTGAGTGTGGGTCGCTTGAAAATAATTGGTGCCATTAATGTCCCGGCTGTCAAGGTCCCGGAGAGTGTGCAGGGATGAGTATGTGTGTTAAGGCATCGTGCAAACACGTACACACAATCCAAAGATCCCCGTGTAGCCCACATAGGCTGCTGGAGCAAGTGCCGTTAGCGAGCGCCTACAAAGGCCGGCACGGCACACGAGGGCGTGGGGTCGTCAACACCGCACCCGGCCGCCTTTGTCTCCCCAGTGGCGATGTTGTTTACACACCGCACCAGGCACTCATTCGAAGCCGAGTCGACCGAGGGTAGGCCTAGCATCGGTTCAGATATTTGCTTGTCGCTGTTGTTAGTCGTGAGCGGGAATCGAATTCGAGTCGCTGGGTTCGTAGTGCAGTGCGCTAGCCACGACACTACCGCCCCTCCCAGTTATCTCACAGGCAGACCCACACAGACACACACACATAAACAGACGAATTCGAGCCACGCACACGCTCACACGCTTACACGTAAAGGAACGCGCGCCTGCCCGCGCACGTTTAAGCCCGCAGGTCGATGGGGCGGGCGCTGCCTGGTGTTGGGCAAAGCAGATGGTGCAATGACTGGGGTTCTGCTCTCCGTGTCTATCCCAATCCCTGTCTCCCTCTCCCCAAATCTCTCTCTCCCGTCTCTCACCTCTCGTGCGTGCGTGTGTGTCTATCTCAATCTCTCACCATCACCCATTCTATCTGTGTGTTGTCTCTCCATTTTCTGTGCACTCCCTCCTCTCTTTATCTCTCTCCATGTCTCATTTCACCCCACATCTCTCCCTATTTATTTTTTATCATCTCTCTCTCTCTCTCCCACCTGTGTGTTTCATCTCTTCCCACCTCTCCACGACCCTGCATCCTCTCCCTCTGCTTTCAACCGGTCTCCACTTTATATTCCCCCTGTCTCCCTCTCATCTCTCTACCTCATTTATATCTATCCTTTTTCTCTCTGTCTCCCTCTCCGATCTCCATCTGTCACTCCCCTCATCTTTCCCACTACCCACTCATATCTATCCCTGCCTCTCTCATTTCCCTCTCTCCCGTGTCTCTTTACCCCCCTTTGGTTTCTGTCGCATCCCCCACTCCCCCCCGCCCCCCACCCTGCAGACAGACCTGAGCTACGTGAACACGGTGGTGGAGCAGCTCAAGAAAGGGTAAGGATGCGCGATGGAGTCGGCTGGGCTGGCGTGGTGGGGTGTATTGACCGCTAGGAATATTACGAGCCGTCTGTTTTCACAGCGGATGTCAAAGTTCCCATGGCATCCTTTCGCAGGAGGGGTCGGCCATCGTGTGCAGGCGGGTACGGTCCAAAATTCGCCGGATTTTGAAAATGACACCGCCAAGTGACTCTCGCTGGATTATACAGAGCAAGTAGCGTCCCCTTCTGCGGAAATGTGGCAGGATGTGCCAGACAGAAAAACGAGTTGTGAGACTCAGGTGAGGCTTTCCTGGGTTAAAAAGGCGTAATCCTCGATGGCTGGGAGTAGGATCGCCCAAACCCACTCCAGTTGAAGCCAGGCATGGACTGCACTAAACACTTTTTTTTCAAAACACTTTTTTTCAAATCCTCCGTAAAAAAAAAAGAACTCGCGTTTTTAAACTGCGTGTTCTCGCTCTCCCTTTTGGTAATTTTTATTAGGCCACTTTATTCCGACGGTACGATCACTGTAGACTCGCCTCGAGGTGATGAATCCATTCGGAAATCTCACGGAGCAGTTCGTCACCACTCCCCTGAGAACTTCTGCCGAGAGAGATTAGAGAGTGGCGCGGTGCGGGAGAGAGACGAGAGAGCGAGAGAGTCGCCGAGTAGGCAGCGATTAGAGAGAGAGCCAGGTGTGGTGAGGAGGGGAGAGGATGAGAGGGAGCGATGCAGGCAGGGGAGAGCGAAGGCAGCGTACAGGGAGAGAAGAGCGAGTGAGGCGGAGAGAGCAGCGGAGAGCCGAACAGCTTTTTCATGTCGCCGGTGGGATGCCAGCCTCCTCTTCGTGGAGCTCACAGACCGCGACTCGGAGTTAATTCGATCGTTTAAACCCCCCCCACCCCGCACTCGCAAGCAGCGACACTTAAAACAATCGGCATCGCTCCGCGGGGAGAATTAACGGCAGGCCACAGGCAGATGGGTTGCGGTTTGGTGGTCGTGGTGATCTTGGTGGTGGCAGGAAGACGGTGGAATAGGAAGGGGAAGGGGAGGATGAATAGGAGAGGGGGGGCAGGAGGGGGAGGAAAAGGGAAGGGTAGGAATGGGAGGATTAGGAGGGGGAGGAATGGAAGGACTGGGAGGGGGAGGAATGGGAAGGGGGCCAATAGGGTGGGGAGGAATGGGAAGAATGTGAGGAATGGGATAAATAGGAGTAGTAGAAGGGATCGGAGGGGAGGAGGTAGAAGGAGGGGGGATGGAAGGGGGAGGGATAGGAGGAGTTGAGAAGCAGATTTGTCTCAACGCAAAATGAGGACAAGAGGACATGGGGGAAGAGAACCATGGAGAGACATCGACACATGGACAGATACGGAGACTTGGAGAGCATCGGAGAGAGAGAGACTTGGAGAGAGGCATGGAGAGAAAGACAGAGAAACGTGGAGATATGGAGAGGGAGAGAGACAGGCGCATGGAGGAGCTCTATTGTAAAGACCTGGTGGGGGAGGCCCTTCGCACTCGGGAGCGGCAGGAGAAGGCGGCGGCGAGCAGAGAGGCAACGGAGGGAAGAGGTAGCAGTGCGTTTCAAATGTCAACAATCGGATTTCAGAAGCCATTTGCACCGTGCGATAATTAAATGTGTCTTCGTGCTGACGGCAGTGACGTCGCCTCGTCCCAAACGACACGAATTGTTGGCTCGAAAAGCACGGCGGCGGTGCGGTACATGACACCACCACTCCGAAGCCAAACGGCGGCAGCAGCGGCAACAACAAACATTGGATCTCTGAAATTCCCCACACACACCAAGGCCGTAATTATAATATATTGGGGGGGGACGCATCCCCCCCCCCCCAATATTCAAAGATGGTTGTACTTTATAAATCCCTAATCTCTGCCATTACATACAATGAAACAAGAAAAGGTAAAAAAGAAAAAAACAGAGCAATGTAATACAATACACTATTAGACATTATTGTAGAACATAAATAAAAAGTCCATCCTGTGTGTTAGTGAATCTTTTTATATTTTAGACCGGAAAATTTAGATTTTTTCTGGGGGGGGGGGACCCCCAGACCCCCTGGAAGATTTGGTCCCCCCCAATGTTGACTCCATGGCTACGGCCTTGACACACACACACCTAGGGTAGTCCGATCTTATTTTTCCGGACGAATCTGAAAAAATAGTTGGACCTCGGCTGGGTTCCCCGTCTCTCCCTCGCTCACGCGGGCCTCGCGTGAATCTCCCTGCCTGCCGCGCCAAATGAGATGCACTCGATTAGACAACGGTAAACTCATACACTTAGCGAATGCTTCATAAATTTAAATGTTCGCTTGAAGAGGGGAAAAAAAAGTGTCATCTTTTTTTTTATCGGCGGTTTGGCGAGACGCGACACAACCTTTGAATGTAAACCGCGAGCGTCTCGGGTGCGTCGTGTGTGCGTGTTGCGTGTGACCTGTGTCGTGTACGTTTTGTGTGTGTGCTTCGTGTGTGTGACCTGTCATGTGTGTGTGTGTGACCTGTCATGTGTGTGTGTGTGTGACCTGTGTTGTGTGTGTGTGTGACCTGTGTCGTGTGTGTGTGTGTGCTCCGTGCGTGTGACCTGTGTCGTGTACGTCTTGTGTGTGTGCTTCGTGTGTGTGACCTGTCATGTGTGTGTGTGTGTGACCTGTGTCGTGTGTGTGTGTGACCTGTGTCGTGTGTGTGTGTGTGACCTGTGTCGTGTGTGTGTGTGTGACCTGTCATGTGTGTGTGTGTGACCTGTCATGCGTGTGTGTGACCTGTGTCGTGTGTGTGTGTGACCTGTCATGTGTGTGTGTGTGACCTGTCATGCGTGTGTGTGACCTGTGTCGTGTGTGTGTGTGACCTGTCATGTGTGTGTGTACGGTTCCTGTGTGTGTGTAACCTGTGTCGTGTGTGTGACCTGTGTTATGTATGTGTTTCGTGTGTGTGTGTACGGTTCGTGTGTGTGTGTGTGTATGTATGGTTCGCGTGGGGAGCGATAGTGTAGCGGTTAGCACGCTGCGCTATGAACCTGGCGACCTGGGTTCGATTCCCGCTCATGGCCAACACCAGTGACGATTATCTGAACCGGTCCCGGGCCTCCCCTAGGTCGACTCAGCCTCAAATAAGTACCTGCCGCGGTGTGTAAACATTGCCACTAGGGAGACAAAGGCGGTCGGGCGTGGTGCTGGCCACCCACCCCCTCGTGTACCGTTCCAGCCTTCATAGGTGCTCGCTAACAGCACTTGCCCCTACAGTCTGTTAAGGCTACATGGGGGATCTTTATCTTTATCCTATGGTTCGCGTGTGTGTGTATGTATGGTTCGCGTGTGTGTGTACGGTTCGTGTGTGTGTGTTTCGTGTGTGTGTGTGTGTTTCGTGTGCATGCGCGCGTCTGTCACGTGCAACGCGCGCCTGAGAGTTTGCCGTCATCCGCATTGAAGTCCTGTTGGCGAATTTGACTTTTAAATGGAATGGCCCGGCGATCCTAACGCAACGAAACAACGGAATTGCAAATTGAGCGAGCCGCCGCCGAGATGCGAGCACCTGGTGCTCCCCCACGGTCGTCGTTGACGTAGACTTTTTTGAGATGTAGCCGCGTATAGGCGCTTCATCTCATCTTGTACAGATTCACACAGCGCCTCTTAGTCCTAGGCGCTTTACGGTAATTATACAATTATACGTACGATGATGGTGGTTAAAATAAAGAGTGGGGTTATTCAAAGTGGTGGTGTAGATATGGTGATAGTTTAGGAGGACGGGTTGGAGCGGTTAAGAAGGCGTTGGGGTGGGGGTAGTGATGGGGGGTAGTGATGGGGTGGGGGGTCATGATGGGGGTGGGGGTAGTGATGGGGGTAGTGGTGGGGGTAGTGATGGGGGTGGGGGTAGTGATGGGGGTGGGGGTAGTGATGGGGGTAGTGGTGGGGGTAGTGATGGGGGTGGGGGTAGTGATGAGGTGGGGGTAGTGATGGAGGTAGTGTGATGGGGGTAGTGTGATGGGGGTAGTGATGGGGGGTAGTGATGGGGGTGGGGGTAGTGATGGGGGTGGGGGTAGTGATGGGGGTGGGGGTAGTGATGGGGGTGGGGGTAGTGATGGAGGTGGGGGGTAGTGATGGAGGTGGGGGGTAGTGATGGAGGTGGGGGGTAGTGATGGGGGGTAGTGATGGGGTGGGGGGTAGTGATGGAGGTAGTGTGATGGGGGTTGTGATGGGGGTGGGGGTAGTCCTGGTTATATCTCCACGCCAATGATTGAGAGTGAAGGTTCTTAGAGACACGTGCCTCCTCGCTAGCTCAGCTCGGGACGGCGCGCTCCGGGTGACTCTTCGACGGCGCGATAGCCATCCGAGCAGCCGTGCCGCCCTTGGAGAGAGGGACGCGGCTTCCCTCTCCCCCGCGAATCGCTGTGGTTCCGAGTTTGTGATTCTATTCAAGGGTTGTTTTTTTCCCCCGTGAACATCGGAGGTGAACCGTAGCGGGGGGGGGGGGTCACGCAAACCCATTACAAAATATATAATGAAATAACAATAATTGATTAATTACATAGGCCATTTGGCGCACGTATCACGATGCTAAGACTCAAAGTTAATCCATATTAATCAATGCATCGTTACATCCCTAAGCATAATTGTCATCGGCGCGAGCAAGAACATTATGGTTACCATCGGTTGCAGTGCCGCCAATATTAAATCGTCGTCGTCGTCTCCATCATCATTCGTGGTGGTGAAAATCGGACAAAAAACCTGGTGGGGGCTGCCACCAAATTGAGGACGTGGAACTTGCCAGCGGTTGTCTTGGCAACAGACTGGTACCCTGCCATAGCAACGTGTCATTTCCACCACGGGCTCTGTTGTAGTCCCACACCACGGGCAGACGAGCAGCGTGCCCGGAGCTTGCTCGTTAGGATACGGGGACACGGTGACCTCTCGTGACCTTGTTGTGGTCCTACAAACGAGTGCCCCATCCTGTGCTCTGCCGAATTAATTAAAGCGCCGTGATTAATCGGAGCCTCTCGCCGAGGTGGCCAGGCAACTCGGGAAAGGGGGGGGTGGGGGGGACTAATACCGGTGTCGGGAAACGCCGATCCGGCACCACGAAGAGCCCTGGGATCACATCCGGGTTCCAGCCGCCCAACTGGGTTTCTCAAGCGTTGCGAATTGATGGTGTCAGCCCGGTTCACCAGGGACTCGCACAGAGACGAACAATGATACTGAGCTATGATAGAAAGCAACGGACGACAGATCACGGCAAAATAGTAATAATATCTAAAAAATAACCACAAATAAATAAAATCTCGGAATCTGGAGGAATCCGATTGAGCTTATGAAGCTCTTTTTTTTTTTACTGATGTTTCCAAATGTCCATCATTGTTTGGTGTCACATTTCAGGTTCCAGCACGAGCTGGACACGGGGCTTCTGGAGGTCATCAGCCCTCCCGTGGGCTATTACCCCGACATGGGCAGCCTCAAGCAGACGTTTGGAGACTCGCTGGAGAGAGTCAGGTTGGTCTACACCGCCAGTCCCAGGGCGACGGACTCGCAGCAACAACGATGGCACCTTCTAATTTCATCGCAATCTAAGCCGGGACTTAATTTCTTACAGCCAGTGGTCGCCAGGGTCCGCCAGGCGCCGCCAGGGACTGCCAGGGGCAACATCAATGTGTCCCAGGGCAGTAGCGGAGGGAATGGAGGCACGCTAGCCAACAAAAGAACTCGAACGACCCCTTTCTCTAACCATTGGTCTTACCCAACCTGGCAGGACAGGGCCCCGGCAGTACCCCCTAACCCAGCCACTTGAGACAGATGGCTGCCAGTTGGCGGATTTGTCATGATTCTTCGCAAAGTTACCCAAATCAACAACAACCGCACCACCACCACCAGCAAACCCCAATAACAACAACCCCACCATCACGATACTGGGTTTGTACAGCGGTCCAGGTGATGACGTGTGGTGTTGCTGCTGCTGCTGGTGGTTGTCGGTGGAGGTGCGGGCGGTGGATTGTGAAGAGATGGGCACATGCCGCTTGAGATCTGCTTGAGACCTCGTGCCATCTTCTCCCCCAGGTGGAGAACCAAGCAGAACCTGGACTTCTCCTTCCTCATGCTCCACGCGCAGCCCCGCGGGAGATTTTTCGTACAGGTGAGCACAGGGCCTGCACTTTTAGCGGGCGCCTATTAATGTCGGCGGAGCACGCGATAGATGTGGTGGTGGTGGCGGCGGCTGTGGCGGAAGTGGTGGTGGAACCATGTGATGAGCGGTGGCGCGGTGGTTAGCGCCCAGTGCCTTGAAGTTGTCGACCCGAGTTCGATTCACGCTCGCGGTCAACACCCAGTGGCGATTGTCTGAACTGGTCCTGGGCCTCCCCTGGTCGACTCGGCCTCAATTTAATATCTGGTGCGGTGCGTCGATATCGCCACTCAGGAGACAAAGGAGGCCGGGTGTGGTGCTGGCCACCCCCACCCCATCGTGTGCCACGCCAGCCATCGTTAGGTGCTCACTGACAGCACTTGCCCCAGTAGTCTGTTAAGGCTACACGTGGTGGGGGTGGGGGGGTGGGGGGAATCTTTGTGTTTGATGGCACCATGCAGGCCAAATATTCCTGGGTGTATTGCCATACTAGGGATGAATTCCGAAACTTTCCAAAATTCGGATGTCAGACATTTAGAGACAATTTGAGACCTAATCCAGATATCCAGGGTCATCTACAGTCCCCCCTGCAGCCCTCCCTGCTGCCTCCCCTGCTGCCCCCCCTGCTGCCCCCCCTGCTGCCCCCCCTGCAGCCCCCCCTGCAGCATTACGGCCCCAGGTGTTGAGAGCTACAGGGGAATGGCCAGGGACTCGCTTGGGACAGTCGGCAGGGATTTATCGAAGTAGATGGATACGCATCTGCAGGCGATTTCGCACCCCCTGACCGCCCGACCGACCGACCCATCCACGTTTACTGGACGCGACACATTTTTTCAAACGTGTGTTCATCCTCGCCAAAGTGTCACTTCCCGTGATGTCGCACCTTTCGGGTGGATGGCGATGGTGTGAGGAAGCCTTCGTCCAGCCGTTGGTAGGCCATAGATGACGACGATCCTGCTGATGCTGCTGATGTTGTTGTTGTATTGGACGAGCAACTGTTGTACCCATGGCTTCACCGCGGGAAGGGGAGTCGAGTCAAGGATGTAGTGCAAAAATACAAAGGAGTGCGAATTGGAAGACAGTGGATGAAGAGTGGGAAATAAGAGGGAAAGGATGGAAAAGGAACGGATAAATGGGAATGGAGGGTGGGGATGGATGAGGATGAGGACGAAGAGGTGGCGACAGAGGCCCGACACTGCTACACGGAGTAGTCTGTTTTCACAGGGGGCAATGGAAGGGTGGAGGAATTAAGAAGGGGGGGGGGGGTCACACAAGTCACGTGATCTCTGGGAGGCTTGAGCTGATTATATAGACGGGTTCGCATTACCCCTGCAGCCACCAGGGGTGTTACAATTCACCACGATGTAATTAAAAAAAAAAACCTCTGAATTGTGACAAATCTCGATTACAATTTTGTAAATCGCTTCAACCCGACTGGACCACGCACGGGAGACTGATGGAAAGTTACGACGCTGAGATATCAACAGACGTCACGGGAATAACAAAAACGCGACAACACGGGCATCGCACAAACAACTCGATACCCCCATCGCTCTCTCCTCTCTCCCCCTGCCCACTACAACAACAAGCAGCCAACGCTTCTGCTTAGCGAGGAATAACAGCGACCAAACTCCACAACAATGAGCATAAATTAAACAGCAGCAACCGCAAATACCAGCACGTGGTTCCCAAGACGAGTTGTGTTGTAGTTTGTGTTTGTTTGTTGTTGTGAGTGCACGTGTTATTGTGTTTGGAAACCAGTCTCTGTTGGGTTCCTCTGGGTAGGAGCGCCTGGCCACTTGCAGGGAAGAAATGAAAAGGTGGCGGTGGAGAGGAGAAGGGTGGTTGTGGAGGAGGGAGGGGGTAGCGGTAGAGGAGGGGTGGGTCGTGTTGTGGAGAACAAACCAATACAGCATTTGAGATTAATGTCTCATGGAATCTTTTCCAGGGTTTCACTGCCCCCCCAAGACCTACCCCCGCCCCCCCCCCCAAAAAAAAATGGGGACCAATTTATCCAGATTTCAGCTCTGGGTAGCTCCAGTAGAGATTCTTATGCTGATGAGGATGCTACCGTTTGCATCACAAGATAATGGTGTCACTGCTGCTGGTGCTGGTAATGATGACGATGATGATGATAAGAAAACAAATACTAACGGTGCTCGTGGTGCTGCTGCTGCTTCTGACGATGGTTACGATCCTGACAACGATAGTCATGATGATAATGATCATGACATTTGTGATGATGATCATGATGGCGACGATGAGGATGATGACTGCATTTTTTTATTATTACTATTAACCTGTGTCCTGCCGAGATTTCCCAGTAAGTGGCGATGTTGCTGCTGCCGTGTGTGATCACGATGACCGTAACCTTATCCCATTCCTGACGTACATGTACGTCATCTGGTCATCAGGAACCGGAAGAAAAACTAAAATAAATAACGTTATGGGTACCGAGGCTCCCACAAGGCCATGCTGAAGGGCGTGTGGCACGCTCTGACGCCAGCTATCGTGGAGTGCGGTAGCGTCGCTAGAGTTATCTGCGGTGAGTCTTTTTAAAAACAACGGGCGCTACGATGCTCGAAATAAAATTAAAGCCGAGCCGCTTGCACGTTCCGAGATTCAGCGGTGAACGGGGACACCCACCCTGCACACTTGCAGCCGTCTCGGAACGGGAAAGGGTGGTGTGATGCTGATGATGGTATGGGCATCTTCTTGACGACACCCTTGCAGCTGGAGGATGACATCGTGGCGAGGCCCAACTATCTGACGACCATGAAGAACTTTGCGGAGCAGCAGCCGTCCGACGAGTGGATCATCCTCGAGTTCTCGCAGCTGGGCTTCATCGGTGAGACATGTCGCTTGCTTGCTCGCTTCCTCGCTCGCTCGTCGCACGGCTGCTGATGATGGCACTCGGAGAAATTGAGACCAGTCGCCGAGTTTTTTTTGTGCGTCAAATGCTGCGGCTGGCGGCTGGCGGCTGACGAAACTCTACACATTTTTGTTTGACGTTTATGCGATGTAGCAGACGGAGTGGGGTTTATTTATTTATTCATCAGTGGATTTGTCTGTTATTTCTCTTCTCTGATGAAGGGAAATAGCCCAAAATGTTGTTATGTTCTATTGTAAGGCAGCCGTAATTATGATTGTGATAACCTTCTGATAATTTTTTTCTCCACAAATTTACATTTAAATAGCCGTGTGCCACTTCTGGGTTGGAGGTATTGGCGCACACTGTGAAGGTTGCGAGTTCACATCTCAGTGAAGGGTCATCATCATCATCATCAACTGTACTTGCCATATAATCGTCAGGAGAATAAAACGAGTACAACGGTGGTGGTGATGGGGTGGGGGGGTGGGTCGTGTGGGGGGTGGTGGTGAAGTGGTTGGCGCACTGCTACAAACACGGCCACCCGAGTTCTGGGTCCTGTCTTAGGTCGGCTCAGCCTTAAATGGGTACCTGGTGCACTGCGTGAACATCGCCACCAGGGAGACAAAGGCGGCCGGGCGTGGTGCTTGTCCGGCCCACTCATTCGAGTTGCATACCTGCCTTCAACGGTGCCGCCCGCTCACGGCACTTGCCGCAACAACCCGTGACGGCTACACGGGGGGTGGGGGGGGGGGATCCTTTGTTCTCGTTTCTCACTGTTTATGCGCCGCCCCTCAGCAATCTCGCTTCGTGTCAAGGCGCAGCAGCGACCGCTGCCTCGCTCCCCACCACGCGGGGAGAGAGGCAGCGAGGCACGCAGCGGGGTGTAGCAGCGGAGGCGGGGTGTAGCAGCGGCGGCGGGGTGTAGCAGCGGCGGCGGGGTGTAGCAGCGGCGGCGGCACGCTGGGTGGACGGCGAGAAATGAACGGCCCCAAAAAAAAAACTTCTAATCGAACGGCGGCCAAGAACACGACACGGTGCCCCCCCCCACCTGCTCCCCCGGATGTTCGGTAAACGGCGGTGACGGCGGCGGCGACGACGGCGCCAAGAACATCACTCGGCGATCATCGGCAACGATAAAATAAAATAGTATCAACGAGTGCGCCTAGATTGACGAGTACGACTAGTACGTCCCCTACTCTCCGAATTTATCCGTGAGATCCCCGCCGGGTTTAGAGCGGCGATTCTCATCGCCACTCCGTGGGCTCCGAAACTCCGCGAGAGTTTCATGTCGTCGTTGTTGTTGTTGTTTATACAGTATCCCACAATACTGTATACCCACCCGAATGCCTGGAGAAAACCCGCGACGCGCACGAATAATCCGCACAGATCAGAAATGAACATGCTCTGCTGACCCCCACCACTTTACCCTCCCTCCCCCCACTCCACCCCCCAGGTAAGCTGTTCAAGGCGTCGGACCTGAACCCGATCGTGGAGTTTTTCCTGATGTTCCACAAGGACAAACCCATCGATTGGCTGCTCGATCACTTCCTGTGGGTCAAGACCTGCAACCCAGAGAAGGACGCGGTGAGACGGACGGACGGACGGACGGACAAATGGATGGACAGAGAAAGAGGCCAGACAGATGGGTAGACAAACAGGCGGAGAGAGACGAACGGACAGATGAACAGGCAGCGAGATTGACGGTCGAGACGGTTTGGTGGGCAAACAGATGGACAGTGAAACATTTGGACACACAGGTGACTGGATGGACAGACGGACAGACAAGCACAGGCAGATATACGGGACTAGACTTACTACCCGGCTTCGCCCGGGACTTGGATTCTTGTCTTGGATTAATACACGGAGGGTGGCGGTGGGGGATGCATGACGTCAGCAGGCAACACTGCGTGACGCTGCCGCATGCGGGTGACATCACAGATGTAACGTCACGGCTCACTTGCCGTGCAAAATATATCCATTATTGCGCCCCCCCCCCCCAAAATACAAATTCTATTTTTATACTTTTTGCATTGTGTACAGTCTGGAAGCTACCCACATGCCAAATTTTAAGTTTTTTGCATGTCGGGAAGTATGCTAAACATTTCGAACAGACACACATAATCACAAATTTCCCTTTTATATATATAGATATCCAAACAACGGATGGACAAAGAAGCGGAGAGTAAGAGATACTTTCAGACAGGTGGACAGTTGGACAGGCAGACATTCAGACGCACAGGCAGACATTCAGACGCACAGGCAGACATTCAGACGCACAGGCAGACATTCAGACGCACAGGCAGACATTCAGACGCACAGGCAGACATTCAGACGCACAGGCGGCTCAGGAAATGCTTGCCGAACCTCAACACCCCTGATGAGGATTGCCCTGCCTTGGGATATTTTTCCAACTCCTAAATAAAAAAAAATGTTTGGGGGGGGGGGAGGTGGGCGAGTAACACAACACTACATTACCCCCCCCCCCCTCCGATAAAACACACAACGCAAAGGGGAGATAACGTTTAAAAATAAATCCACCAAGATTGGGTAACGACACGCGCTTTCTCTACTGCCGTTTGGCGGGCGGGCGGGCGGGCGGGCGGGGAATCTCCTCCTCGGACTTCATTAATCGAAGAGCCCAGCGGCGGCCGCCGCCGTGCGCTCTCCCCGCGCCATAATTCACGCCGTTATCTCGCCGCGACGGCGATGAAATTACAATTTGCGGCGTTTTAGCGATGTGTCCCCATCTTTACGGTTCCTACACTGCCCCCCCCTCCGCCTCCTCTCTCGGTCGCTTCGTCTGCGGACGGATCCCGGGCCCTCACCGCCGCTTTGTGCGACGGCAATTGACGAGCGGCGGTCGCTGCTATCGTCGTCATTGTACTCTTTCCCGCCCCTCCCCACCCGCTCTCTGAGAGCGCACGTCTCCTATAATAATAATAATAACAACAACAATAATATGTTATTGCTGTTGTTGTTGTTACAACAATAAATGTAATAATGATTGGCGGCACTTTTGTCCGTCAACCGCTCAATTAAAATAAAACGCCATCCCATGCTGCGTCGGTGGGTGGTGCGGGCTGTTCAACCATACTTCACCACGTTCGGTCAGTGGTGCGGGCTGTTCAACCATACTTCACCACGTTCGGTCAGTGGTGCGGGCTGTTCAACCATACTTCACCACGTTCGGTCAGTGCGAATTGTCGAAGCTGTCGTCCGAAAGGGAATCAGAATATTTATTTAGACTGGAGGAATCCGATGAGCTACAAAGCTCTTTTTCACAGATGTCCAGTAGTGGAAGGGGGGGTGGGGGGGAGAGCTGGTTAAGGTGTTACTCGCTCACCGATGTCATTGGCCGGGGCCAGGAATCGAACTCGGTCCGCCGGGTTCACGGCGCGGTGCGCTGACCGCTGTTGCACCGTCGCTGCCCCCGCCCGACTGCGTGTCACGTGCCCTGCGGGGAGCGCTCGTTGATTTGAGCATAGAATGACCGCGGCAGCGACGGGGATCGAACCCCCGGGGCCTTCCCAGCTGACCGTCTGGGGCGATTATAGCCGTTGCGATCATTGGCTCTGCCCTCGCTCCTCCTCCGGCTCCCAACAGAAACACTGCGAGCGTCAGAAGGCGAATCTCCGCGTTCGCTTCAAGCCGTCGCTGTTCCAGCACGTGGGCACCCACTCCTCCCTGTCGGGCAAGATCCAGAAGCTCAAGGTGTGTGTGTGTGTGTGCGCGCGCGCGAGTGTGTATGGGTGGTGGGTGTGTGTGTGCACGTGTGCGGGGAGTATGTGGATGTGCGGTTGTGTACGAGTTGGATGTGGGTGAGGGTGTGCGAGCGCGTGTGTGCGGGGAGTGGTTGTGTAGCGAGTGTGGGGGGAGCGGTTAGCGCGCTGCGCAACGGACACAGCGTCCCGGGTTCAATTCCCACTCACGGCCAACTTCGGAGATAAATATCTGTTGGCCGTGAGTGGGAATCGAACCCGGGTCGCCAGTTTCTGTAGCGCTAACCGCCGCGCCACCTCTCCTCCCCGTGCTCAAACGAAATGCACGTGCACACGCGCACGCACGCAGGATCGCGACTTTGGGAAGCAGCCGCTGCACAAGGCGCACCCAAACCCGGCGGCGGAGGTGAGCACGAGCCTCAAGACGTACCAGCAGTACTCGCTGGAGAAGGTCTACCTGGGCCAGGACTTCTTCTGGGCCTTCACGCCCGTCGCCGGCGACTTCATCCTCTTCCGCTTCCACGAGCCCATCCGCGTTGAGAGGTGCCGCTCTGCTCGCCTCCCCCCACCCCACCCCTGTCCCGCCCCACTGCAACAGCACCCGACCACACCATTGTAAGCAGCACCCGACCACACCATTGTAAGCAGCACCCGACCACACCATTGTAAGCAGCACCTTGGCCACACCATTGTAAACAACTCGCGGCCACACCATTATTAACATTATCAACATTATCAACATTATCACGGCCACGCCTTGGCAAAGAGCACATGATACATCCGCACTGAAAACAGTGCATCAGTGTATCATGCACTGATCAACATGCAACACACAGCACACACGCTGTGCACACACGGCGAGTCAATACTGGCACAATCTTACACGAGTCACAAGACAAAATGCATCGGCGCGTTGCTGTTCATTATTACTAAGCTCAGTTTGCAAACCGAAAGAGAACTAACAAACTCACCCCCCCACCGCCCCCCCCCCCTGAAATTTCGAGACATCGTATTGACCGTTAAGGAAAGTAAAAGTGGGGGCTCGGGTGGGGGGGGGGGAACGTGGCCGATGGCCGAGACCAGCGATGGAACGGCAGCCAAAGGAGGGGGACTCTCCCAAGTGGAGATGGGTCGACCGCGGAGACGGAGCGAGGAAACAGGATCGTGCGTGGGAGCACGACGGAGTGTCGCAACGCATTTATTGATTGCGAGGAGTGGCGACATCGCGGGGAGGCCTTCGTCCAGCAGCGGCTAGGCCGCGGCCGACGGTGATTAATGGAACGCCGCGGCGCCAATATGCGATCCACCGGTGGCGATGTTCATAACCACGCGGGCAGAAGGTGCGAGTATTTCGGGTCGGTGTTGGGGTTAGGCCCAAACATTCGCACGCATCCTCTGGGGCACGAGGCAATTATGGTTGCGCAAATATCATTCTAGGCAGCGGAGAATTTGTGAACGACAGCTTCTGCTTTATTATCCACGGACAACACTGTAAGCCCATTCTTGGACGAATCTAAAACCCGTCATTGCAAATTCTGATATCGGTCGAGAAAGCGAAAGAGGCCGATTAACGAAGACATTTAAAATAAATTAACTTGTGGAGACATGGAACGGGGTTCTGCTTGCATTTGGTTATACACAAAATGTTCCACAGCAACGCACAATGAGTGTGGACACAATGTTGCCTTTTGTGTTGAACGAAATCCCATAGTTTACATAGAGTGCTCTTGCCAATAACATCTGGCTCTGCTGATGGGATCCAGACGGTCGAAAACCGTGAATCCGCGTGCTTTAGCAAACGCTGCTGAACAATATGGGTCCAGAAAGCCGCGAGGCTGATGGACTAACGCACACATGTACTGTGCTTGTCCCTTCGCTTATAAAGACGTATTTATAGCGCCTTGTTCCAAGGCGCTTTACAAGCAATTATGAAATTGCACGTGAGACGATAGTGGTCGAGTCATAGAGTGGGGTTGTTGTTATAAGCGGTGGTGTCGTGGCATGTATGTTTAAATTCCTTCGCATCATACGTAACCCACCGTGCTAATTGGAGGTACGGGAGGACACCGAGCGGAGTAGTGAGGACACACCGAGCGGATTTCTTTGTTCATTATTGGCTGTTACCCACAATGCTCAGCGGCAGAGCGAGGGATTCACGGAGTGGAAAGGTCGCGAGTTCAAAGCCTGCACCGGAGGGGAGTTGACTCGGCCCATCATCCAACCCCCCTCCCTCGGGGTCGATAAAATATAGCACCACTTTGTCTCATAGACATGGGCACGTGGAATGTATATGTTGTATTGTAGGTAGGAGAGAGAAGGTGTGGAGGAGGAGTGTGATGCTGATCAGCGCTGGACTGTGCAGGGCCGTAGACCAGCGGCCGCCCGTCTACCTGCGAGCGGCTAATTGTGGCATGCGCGTTGCGGGATCACGGCTGAGCTTGCGGGCTTAATTGCACAAACCACTATTTATTGTGGTCTTAATGAGGTTTCTCTCGAGAGTACGGGGGGGTTGGGGCAGGAGAGAGATTTTGTTGAGAGGTGCGTGTGTGTGTTTGCCATCATCGTTATCGTGATCATTGTAAATCGTCATCACAAATCCAGTTTTATCCCGACCATCAGTAAAACACTGTCACTGTTGTTACCGTTAGCATCGGCAACGCCATCCGTGGCGTCGTTATCGGTAGCAGCAGCGGTCGCAACATTGTTATTTTTTAATCAGCAACAGTAGCTGAAAACGTAGCAACAGGAGCAGCATCATCGTCAGTTTAATCAACAGCAATGGTTGTAGCGTCAGCAGTGCCATCATTAACTGCTTCATCAGCATCAGCGGCAGAATATTTTCTTTTTCTCGGAGCTAAAAACTTTATTTAATGAATAAAGAGAGAGCCTTCCACCGCCCTAACCTCTCCATTAGGAGGCGTGTGGTTGAGCATCACTTCATTAACACCCCATTAACTCCCTCAATTACTCACGGTAACGCAACACAAACACGCACTTCGCAGCTCCACTCTTGGGACGCAACTACACCGGTGGAACTTCTCTCCCTTCACTTTCTCCCTCTCTCCAATCCTCCCTCACCACCCCCAACAACCACCCCTCACCAACCCAACAATTACCCCTCACCACCCCCAACAACCACCCCTCACCAACCCAACAATTACCCCTCACCACCTCAACAACCACCCCTCACCACCCCCAACAACCACCCCTCACCAACCCAACAATTACCCCTCACCACCTCAACAACCACCCCTCACAACCCCCAACAACCACCCCTCACCACCCCTAACAACCACCCCTCACCACCGGCATCAATTACCCCTCACCAACCCAACAATTACCCCTCACCACCCTGACCACCTCAACAACCACCCCTCTCACCACACCCTCATCACCCCTTTTGCGAGAGTCAATGTCTCTCTCAATCTCACGGTGACCCCCGTGACGCCTCGCGGTGACCCCCGTGACGCCTCGCGGTGACCCCCGTGACGCCTCACGGTGAGCCCCGGCATGCCGTTCGGCACAGCTAACAATGGTTTGACTCCACGTGCTGGGGAACTGGAACGTATTTTTAAATCCTTTTGTGTCAATCCACTCCTCCGTGGGTCGTTGTTTTTTGACCATACTTCACCACGGTGGTCGGTGCACGTTGATGTAGGCGGCACGGTGGCGGTGGCAGTGGTCCCCAGGACCGTTGGAAACCACTCGCCGCTGATGTTGTTAGCCGTGGCCTGCAGTCAAACCCGGGCACACTGATTGTGTTCACGCAGTGGCGAGGTGGCGCTAACCACTGTGCCACCGCTTCCCCTGCCCCCCTTCTGAAATATACCAAACGCAAATATTTCATTTTGAGACTCATCCCGGCCGTGGGAGGTCGGCCCGCGGCAGGATATTGCTACGGCGCACACAGAGGTCCCCCGTCTCACGCGAGGGGTCAGGGGGTGACACGGAGGATCGGGGGGTCCCGGTTCAATTCCCGCTGCGGTGAGGGACGGCTCCCTTTTTACTCTCAGCCCTGTTTGTGCTTGTTGTTGTTGTTTTGCGCGACGTTTCTTGCTATTTTAATGAACCGGCTACGGCGTCGTTGTCGGCTCCAATAACCGAGGGAGGCGGCGACTTAATGCCTGCCTCCAAAGGCGGTCACCCTGATTCTCCGCTCTAACGAGCATTGAGGCGGCGCGTCTCGGTTCCTGGCTTACAGCCCCTGAGCCAGAGGTGGCAATTCCACATTCTCACGGCAGGGACTGGTCACCCCGTAGGACATCCGCCGGTGACGTCCCCACAAATCCTTGCTCCGTTGTGTTGGACACCTCGATAGAGGAGCCGCTTACAGGGAACTCCTCTCTCCCGGCTTTAGCCTCACACTCCTCCACCTCTCGACCACAGCCGCTATCCAACAATACACTCACGGCATGTGCATACAGAGCCATACACGTACCTCTTCCCGCCTCCTTATTCTCTCCCCTCCTCTCTCCCTCTCCCCACCTCCTCATCCCACCTCTTCATTCCCTCCCCCGCTTCCTTCCTTCCCCCTTCCTTTCCCCACCTCTCTCTCTAGGACCTCGCTCCATCTGGGTAGTTGCCTCTCAACCACCCTGCCGCCCAATCCCCCCCCCCACCCTCTCCTCCCCTAGCCCCCCTCGCCCTTCCCCCCGGGGGGTCCCCATCTCGCATCCTGCACATTGGGCAGTGACGTCTGCGCAGGGTTAACCTGGCGGCCGCACGCACTCGCCTGTGTGCTCTCGCCTGTGTGTTCGCGTGTGCTCTCGTGTGCCCCCAGGGCACATTGTTCGGTGGAAGCAGCTGGTACATGGGCTGCGCGCGGCCTCCGTCTGTCCTTGGGTGTGTGTGGTGTGGTGTGTGTGTGTGGTGTGTGTGTGTGGTGTGGTGGTGTGTGTGTGTGGTGTGGTGGTGTGTGTGTGGGGTGTGTGTGTGGTGTGTGTGTGGGGTGTGTGGTGTGGTAGTGTGTGTGGTGTGGTGGTGTGGTAGTGTGTGTGTGGTGTGGTGGTGTGTGTGTGTGGTAGTGTGTGTGTGTGGTAGTGTGTGTGTGTGGTGGTGTGTGTAGTGTGTGTGTGTGTGGTAGTGTGTGTGTGTGTGGTGTGGTGGTGTGGTAGTGTGTGTGTGGTGTGGTGGTGTGGTAGTGTGTGTGTGGTGTGGTGGTGTGTGTGTGTGGTAGTGTGTGTGTGTGGTGGTGTGTGTAGTGTGTGGTGGTGTGGTAGTGTGTGGGTGGTGTGGTAGTGTGTGGGTGGTGTGGTAGTGTGTGTGTGTAGTGTGGTGTGGTGGTGTGGTAGTGTGTGTGGTGTGGTGGTGTGGTGGTGTGTGTGGTGTGTGTGGTGTGGTGTGGTGGTGTGTGTGTGGTGTGGTGGTGTGGTGGTGTGTGTGTGGTGTGTGTGTGGTGTGGTGTGTGTGGTGTGTGTGGTGGTGTGTCTAGTGTGTGTGTGTGGTGTGTGTAGTGTGTGTGTGGTGGTGTGTGTGGTGTGTGTAGTGTGTGTGTGGTGGTGTGTGTGGTGTGTGTAGTGTGTGTGTGGTGTGGTGTGTGTGTGGAGTGTGTGTGGGGTGTGTGGTGTGGTAGTGTGTGTGTGGTGTGGTGGTGTGGTGGTGTGTGGTGGTGTGTGTAGTGTGTGGTGGTGTGTGTAGTGTGTGTGGTGTGTAGTGTGTGTGGTGTGTAGTGTGTGTGTGTGGTGTGTGTGTGGTGTGGTAGTGTGTGTGTGTAGTGTGTGTGGTGTGGTGGTGTGTAGTGTGTGTGGTGTGGTGGTGTGTGTAGTGTGGTGTGGTGGTGTGTGGTGTGGTGGTGTGTGTGGTGTGGTGGTGTGTGGTGTGGTGGTGTGTGTGGTGTGGTGGTGTGTGTAGTGTGGTGTGGTGGTGTGTGGTGTGGTGGTGTGTGTAGTGTGGTGTGGTGGTGTGTGTAGTGTGGTGTGGTGGTGTGTGGTGTGTGTGTGTGTGGTGTGTGTGTGGTGTGGTGGTGTGTGTGTGTGGTGTGTGTGTGGTGTGTGTGTGTGGTGTGTGTGTGTGGTGTGGTAGTGTGTTTGTGTGTGGTGGTGTGTTTGTGTGTGGTGGTGTGTGTGTGTGTGTGATGTGTGTGTGTAGTGTGTGTGGTGTGTGTGTGGTGTGCGTGCGTGTCAGCGCTCGCCCGCCCCTGACGGCCTGCTGAAGGGTACAACGGGGGGGGGGGGGAATGAATGGTTGTGTCTGTACGTGAGTGTGTGTGGGAGGGATGCGAGGGGAATGAATGGTTGTGTCTGTACGTGAGTGAGTGTGTGTGGGAGGGATGCGAGGGGCTCGCGTCCCCCCCCCACGAGCGGGTGGGAATGTGCCGCACTGGCGCGCAAATCTCGGAGGCGCACAAAACGCATCGAACTGTTTACCGCGGCCTTAAACATGATTCAAATGTACAATGGGCGACGTTTCGGGCAAATGGCCCTTCACAGCACAAAGAGAGACCAGGCAGGCAAAATGATCATCTGAAACGTCACCGGTCATGCGCCTTTTTTTCCCTTTTGAAGGCCCACGGTGTTAGTGACGACAGGTTAGGTCGGCTTTGTTTGCGTTCAACAGCAGCAGCAGCAACAGCAGCAGCAACAGCAGCAGCAGCGTCGCCAATCAACGTGTCAAACACGCGAATACCCGCACCCTTCACAACTTCTCTTCCCGTGTGCACGAATGTACACAGCGTGTAATTAACCCTTGGTTCAATTGGCAGCCAGTGGAAGCGGGCTCGTCACGAATGGTCGGTGTGACGTGGTCGTATTGTGTCGCCCTTTTTTGCTCCGTCAGACGCGGGGCCGTTGGTATTCCACCCCCCACCCCACACCACCCCCCACACCACCCGGTGCATGAACTCTCGCGGCGTCTCACTCTCCCCCCACCCCCCCCGTCACCTGTGCATCGCAGGTACCTGTTCCGTAGCGGGAACATCGAGCACCCGGGCGACAAGCTGTTCAACACGAGCGTGGAGGTGCTGCCCTCCCTGGTGAGTGGCACACGACGGGGGCCCCTCTCCCCCCCCCCCATCTCGTGAGATGTCGCGGCAAAGCTAAGCAGGGTCGGGGTGGGGGGGGGGGGGCGCTTGACGCCGTACTTGGGATTGTTGGGGTAAACATTGGAGGGATGCCCGGAACGGGACCGCGGAGGCCCTGGCCCAAACCGTCGGGGCGAAGCGCGAACCACTGACAACAACATCGCACGTTCAGCGTAGGCTTTAGCGGCAGCAGCGGCGGCGACAGAAATTGACTGGGCCGCACCTTAAGCCATCATGTGGCTTTCAAGCTTGGATACAGAGCTTGAATCCTGCTCGTGATAAAGTGACGGTGGCGAATATTTGAATCGGTCCTACGCCTCCCGTACGTTAACTCGGCCTGGTGTGGTGTGTAAGCACACCAGGCCAACACCACGGCCGGGCGTGGTGTTGGACACCCAGGTCCTCATGTGCCATGCCGGCCTTCATAGGTGCTCGCTAACAGCATTTGCCCCGACAGTCTGCGAAAAGCTACACCAGGTATATTTATCTTTGCCTACACATCTGTGTGCGATAATTTGTCCATGTGTGTGCGGATCTCTGCGTATGAATAGACTTGTCCATGTCTGTGTGTGTCCACGTTCACACACAACGCACACATGTGTGTCTGTGTGTGTCCACGTTCACACAGGCACACATGTGTGTCTGTGTTTATGTGTGTCCACGGTCACACACAACGCACACATGTGTGTCTGTGTGTGTGTCCACGGTCACACACACATGTCAGTGTCCCTGTGTCCGCACGTCATCAGCGTGCGTGTTTTGCGTTCGCGTCTGTGTGCACGTGTCTTTGCTCCATGTGTCTCTGTGTCCACGCCACGTAGAGTCCCGACTCGGGCAAAGAGACGCTTCAAGACACCAAGGATCGCTCGTCCAAGTACTTGCGGACGGAGGACGGCTTCTTCCGCGTCGGTGAGGCAGTCGCGCGCACCTTGAATCTTGCTCGACTCCCCCACATCGTGCCGTCTGTCCAGAGCCGACCACGATCCGCCGATTCGTCGGTACCCGACGTTGACTTGAGTTGCCGATTCTGGGTCGTTTTTTATAGCTGGGGATGTCGAGTGCTATCTGATAATAATACTCGAGTCCCATACGATACAGAATGCTCGTTCAATCCGGTACACAATCCTCTTCTCAGTGTTTGATGATAATAATTATAACATCGTCACTCACGTTAATTGCATTTTACAACGCTGTACATTAATGATATATAAGGGTGTAGGGAAAGGCCTTCATCCAGAATGGATAGATAATGGCTGCTGCAGCTGATGATGATTTGATGATGACTGATTGTGATTATGGTGGTGACGACGGTGAGAATTACAATGGTGATGACATTGACGACGACGATGATGAACAGATGTGAATGATGTGGGTGGCGATGATGACGACGAATGGTGCTGGTTGTGCTCCTATTAATGTTGCTGCTATTGACGCTGACGACGATGACGACAACAACACTGACACGATGATGACGATGACGACGACGATGCTAACAATGATGACGATGATTGCGATGACGCAGGAGCGTTCGTCAATGGCGCCGCCGAGGGAGAGGTGGAGCAGGGTCTGGGCCCCATCACGGCTCTGCGTCTCTCCATCATCACCGACTCGCCCGTCTGGGTCATCCTCAGCGAGGTGCCGCCAGTAGCCCTGGTCTCTACGAGCCTCCCTCAGCCTTTCAACACCGAGAAATAGAAAACGTCGGGAGTAGTAATAATAATAATAATTACGATGATTTTACATTTGTAAAGCGGCGCTTTTTTTCCCCGTAGGTCCCTATGCGTCACCGCCGTGTATAGAAAGCTGGGAAATTAACTGAACCTGCAGAGGGTAAACAGGCAGAACTAGGCGGGGGGCGGGGGGATGGGGGGATGGGGGGTAAGGTCATTTTTAAGGGGTTGAGTTTTCAAGACGGACTTAAATAACTGCGATTGTCTTTTTACCTAAAGGCAAAGCGTTGTTCCAAAGCCTGGAGGCTGTACAATGGCAACAGCCACTGTCGTGCACAGAATTTGGCCGCTATGAACGTCCACTCGATGACAAGCCTCTTCGTTGAGCCATCATTCGTGAAAAAGATCTCTGTAGCTCAGTGGGCCTTACCTGGCATAATAATTTACAAGAATAGTTTTAGTAGTTGAGTACTTTAGCCCGATCACTGCAGGAGCAGAGCTTTGACCTCGGCGTCCTTGGAAGAAGGAGATCCGAAGATCTCGGGGACCTCGCTGGAGAGTCAACATGGATCAGATCCTGCAAATATCACGCCCCTCTCTCTCTCCCTCGTCCCACCCACCACTGCTCCCCCCCCTCCCACCCACCCGTACTCTCACCCACTTCCTCTCCTCTCTTATTAATAAATTACAATAACGGCCTTCCGTTTTTTTTTTTTGCTCGGGAGATCCGATATCCTTGGCCGCAGATGTTTATTCACGGCCCGCAAATTGAACTCTGGTCGCCCGGCTCTCTTCAAATGCGGTGCAGTAACCGGCCGCGTCGTCACCAATCGCACGGAGGAGCGAGGAGGCTGCGGCGTTGCGTATCGGGTGCGTCTCCCGATGCCCAACTTTAGTTGTATATGTAGCCTGGGGTTTGGGGGGGGGGTCCCTTCTTGTGGGAAAGCTGTCCTTCGTGTGGCGCAAGGTTATGCAGAGGGGGGGGCAGTTATTGCTCTGGGTTATTCCAATTTGGATTATAAAAAAAAATTTGCCGAATTTGGACAATGACCCCATCACCACCCACAACAAAAAAAAAATATTCCGTCGAAGCTTTTCACGCATGGTACTGTACTTAATTTTAGGCTAAGTCGACCTAGGGGAGGCCCAGGACGGGTTGAGAATAATCATCGCGGGTGTTTGGCAGTGAGCGGGACTCGAACTCGAGGCGCCGCGTTCGGAGCGCGGCGTGCTAACCGCTGTGACACCGCTCCCCACACGTACGCGCACACAATTCCTCGCACGCAACGCACCCAACTAAACGTGACATCCGAGGCGTCGACTGCCGAAGCCTGTCTGGTATTTTGATTTGCTCTGCGGGACGGGATAATTCCCTCCATAAATAAACCCGCGTCTCCAATGAGGGGGCCCCCCTGGGGATCCGAGCTGCCTTCTTTCCTCCCACCTCCTACAACACCCCCCCCCCCCACCTCCCCCCCTATTCCTGATGCTCCCTCCACTCTCCCCCCTCCGCCGCCCCCCCCCCCCGCATCTTCCTCTTCACCCCCCCCCACCACCCTCCCCCCCCCCCCACTGTCACGGGATGCCCATGGCAAGCAAAAAAAATCCGTGCCTCGGGATGTCAAACGAATGGTGGGGGGGGGGGGGGGGGGTAGAAATTGGTTTTGGCACAGGGGAGCTGGGTGGAGCAGTGGCTCGTGCATTGCGCTTCCTAGCCGGTGACCCGAGTTCGATTCCCGGTCACGGCCATGGGAAGGGCTTCATCCAGCAGTGGATTGATAGAGGCCGTGCAGTCCCGAACTTTCTAGTTTTTTTTTAATTAGGGAGCCCTACATTCATAATTGTGTGTGTGTGTGTATATATGATCGATGTAACCCAAGTCGCCCCTTGCAAGAGAGCCAATGTTGTTTCACGAGCCTCGACGGGTTTACTTCATCTCCTGGTTAGACATAGGATGCACACGTGCAATATATCAAGTGGGCAGCGATCGATTTCTCACCTCCCCCCTCCATTGTATCTGCCACTCGTACCACCCTCCTCACCTCCCTCTCCCCTATCCCACCTTCATCCACCCTCACCCCTGGCCAGATCTACATCAAGAAGGCAGCGAGGTGACGGTGACACGGAGGCCCCCTCCCCCCGCGCCGCCTCCACCTCCTCCGTCGCCGCCACTGCCGCGGCAGCGAAGAGGAACTGGGACTGGTATCGAACCTCCGCCCCTCGTCTCGGCCGCAACGCCCGTCCCTCCCCGAGCCGTCGTAGGCGCCTAGGAGGGGAGACGACCGAGGGTGGAGAAGCGAGGAGAATCCACCTCGAGTTTTGGAGGGGGGGGGGAGGGGGAGCCGAGGGGAGGAGTGGACACAATCGGAACTCCTGGGGTCTTGCGATTTGAGATGTTTTGGGGGATTAACGATGCCTGGTTCAGGCCCCCCACCCCCCCCCCCCCCCCCCCCATTGAGTTGTTTTGGGAACGCAAAAACTTTTGTTGTTGTCTCCAAAGCTACCGGCCTCGTCTTGGGCAACTGGTAAATAAGTTATGACACTCCGCGGAGAATCGCAGTGTGTGTTGAAGTGTGGGGGTGTGTGTGTGTGTGTAAGGATCAATGTCTCTCTTTCAATTCGTATACGAACCTTATGGCGGGACCCCGGGGTCCCCAATAAACGGAAGTCAAAATCGTAATTAATTAATTTATTTTTGGCGACTCCGTCCCACCGCGCAGATAAAGGCCGAGACCCCACCTGGCGTGGATCGTTCCGTTGTCACGTCGTCTAAGCGCAAAAGCAGCGAGGACAAATGCGCAGAAGAGCTGAACAAGCGAATGCGCTCCATGCTCGGGTATGGGCAGGATCCTGAGTCTTATCCAAAGCCGTTCAAACTGCCGACACGACTTAATTCCTTTATTTGTTATAACGGTATGCATAATAATACAGTGAAACTGCTCTCTTATCTTCATTATTATTTGTGACATACCAATGTCTGCAGCCAGGATCAATCGATGACAATCCTATTACCTGCAAATATTTAACAGATGAGATGCGTTGCACCGTTAATTCCTCCTGTTTGATAATATTTCTCTTGTCCGTATGCATCTGTGCAGAAAGGGTTTTTTTTGCGGTTAAGCCATAGTCCCCACATACCACTCGTATCAATGCGGATAAGAGGAGCGGCGACCCACTACTCTGTAGAGTAACATTGGTATAAATGTTTGTTACAATATGAACAGCGCATTGAAAACACGTACTATTTTATGTACTGTTTACAAAGTGTGTTCACAAATCCACAACTGAGAAACACGATATATTGACAGAGGGGTGTAAATTATTTGTTCGATAGTGTATTTAAATAGAGGTACTGCAGGTAAGTAGTTTTTAGTTTTAAAGACATAGTTTAACAAGTTAACACTTGCCATCATCCTTCAAACCCATTGGTGAAAAAGAGCAACGTTTTTGTTTACATTATAATATAATGTTTATGCGAGAGACGGGGGCTTACGGGAACCCGGGGATCCCGCGATGAGGTTCATATAGCCAGCGCTTAATTCCTCAATCAATACTTTCCGGAACGCTGTCTCTTAGGCTGGCTTGAGAGTAGGGATTATCGATATAAGGCACTACAACTAGAGTACAAGGTACGCCTATCCGGAATAATCCGATACTGTGGCACCTTGCTTGCCGATAATCCCACGAAAAAAGGTGTATACGAATTAGGACAACAAATTACAGCGTTGTGAGGTTTATGCGGCGTGTGCCAAAATAATTTCCGGAACGGTGTTCCCGACCAATCTTTCTCTGCTGAAATTAATCACTGCGTGCATGTGTGTGTGTGCGTGTGCGTGTGTGCGCGTGCGTGCGTGCGCGTGTGTGTGTGTCGTTGCATGCAATGGATTTGGCGTGACGCAGTGCATCCACCACATCCCCCCCCCAAAGCGGGGCGGTCAGCAACCAATCATAACGAGAAGATAACAACAAAAAATCGAATTCGGAAACAAAACCCCCACCCCCCAATATTTCTAGAGCCGCCAATGCACTGCGGTGAATGGAGGCGCTCCATAATATATAAGGAACAACAATCCTTTTTGTAACCCCTATTTAAAGAACGGCACACGCACAACAGTTTGGCATGCGGCACATGTTCACTGCAGGATGCTCGTAAACGTGTTTCCGTATTCTCTATCCTCACACTTTATGCGCGCGCTCGTGTGTGTGTTTGGACCACTATCTTTCTGCCCGTCTCACTCCCGAACCTTCTCTCTCTCTCTCTGGAGGACGTTACATGCCATCCGCTTCCACCTGTCAGATACAGTAAGCATACAGAGACAACAATTGCATCGTTGCAAACAAATACACTGTTTAATGTGAGGTTAATATCAATGAAACGGGACATTTATATTTAGAATCGAAGGAACTAATCTTAAGTATACGAATACGTTTCAGACTTGTCAATATTTTTTTAGCAAATACACAGCTAAAGTGAGTTCGCATCAATGACACGGGATGTTGAATTACACAAGCATGTTAAGTTATCTCGTAAAAAAAGTGTTCAACTTTATTTTTTACGTTCGGAGCGTTGGGCTGTCGTTTTGCATTTTCGAGCGGAACTGTAGACATTCATGGTTTCGGTTTTGCTTCTCGGTTCGACTTTTTTTCATGAAAACCATATTTGATAAAACGCGTACGCACGTACGTTGAAACTTCTTTCGCACCCTACGTAGCCACACCGTGCTGATCCGGAGGTGCTTGCACGAGTCAGTAGGGCCGAAGTTGGATGGAATGGCAGAAGCATATTATCTCTTCACGTTGCTAAAGGCATCCGGTAAAGAATTCCAATTTTGAATATCAATAATTTCAGTCCATCGATATTGACAGTGCCAGGGTAGATTTGTGGCTTTCTTTATTTTCGAGTTAGGTCACCAAGCCTCTGTATTTAGAACCCCCACGTGTCTCTTTCCGGCACATCGGCCAATTCCACTTCGGTTCGGTCCACTCCTGTAAATGCTGAAACGTTGAGGGCCGAGATTATCGGCATTCAAGGGGTTTCAACATAATTTTTTTTTACAAAGTTGTGTTTTCCTTTATAAAGCACGGAAATCGCCCCGCAAAAGCTTTTCTCGCGTTTGTCAGCATCGCGGGTCTGAGGTTCTCCAATGTTAAGCTCAAAAGTTGTGTTGCCTCTCTGAATCGCCTCCGTGACAGGAGATGGACCAGAGGGAGCTGTCTCGATGTCTCTCGCAAACAACGTTAGTTTTCGCGTGAAACGATCGCACCTCTTCTACAAGCAAGAGAGCTGCGTTTCCCAGTCCCTCGTAGCTTTCCGTTACGGCCAGTTTTAAATTCGAGGCGACGTCCACCGCGCAGTGACATTTCCGTAGCCGCGTAGGATCCGATTAGCACGGTTGACTACGTACGGTGCAAAGGAAGTTCTACACACACACACATCAGCTCTGCGTATTCACAAGACCTTCGTTTCTTCCAGACAGGCCACATAACGCGCAAGCACGTTTCCCCTTGAAAGCCATCATTATCCTGTTGCGCTGGAGAAGGTTGGAATATCGACGGCTGACCCTCTTAAAGAAGTGTACCGGACTGCCGCTGGTTCGAGCCTTTTGCCATTCATTTGATCGTAGATCTGTATTAACCAGGGGTCATCACGACTCCCGTCATCTCAGATGGTTGGAAACGTTTGCGCGCGGTGTGCTTGTTTTGTGTTTGTTTTGAAGCCATTCCAATCCCGCTTTAATTATGCTTTGGCAGAGCAGACGTCGCAATGCCTCCCCTTTGAAAGAATCGAGACTTTATTGGCAACATGGTCAAAACCCGGAGACTTCCGATTTAGCACGGTTGGTGGCGATGTACGGCGCGAAGGAAGTTCAGCATACTAACGTACAAATATATACACATACGTACATATTACAGGGGGGAGGGGGGGGTTAATAATTAAACGTTTAAAAAAATCGCATATCGTTTGCCGTTGCAATACGAGTTGTTCGTTGAGCCGTTAATCGAAAAGTTATTACGAGGGTTTTTATTTTATTTTGCTCTGCGACTATAGCGTTGGGGGCCACAAACCGAATCCGACCGCTGTTCCAAAAAGTAAAAAAAAAACCCCACCAACAATCAATACTGCATCTGTATCGTTTACACCCCCTGAGGGTTTAGTCAAAGACACTGGAAACGGAATTTTAGGCATTGGATTTAAATGTTAAGAGGGTCTCTGGAGGTGTGTGGCTTTTTCTTCTTCTCAGAAGGAATCTGTTGTGTGTATATATATTTTGCTGGACGAAGGTGGGAGCTGGTTGATTGACCAAGAAATACACTTTATATTACGATGACTGTAAAAGCCGTTTGGATGATTTGCGCGCGCTTAGGCGTTTTAAACGAGGAACGGTGGGGGGGGGGGGGGGGGGGGTGCGGATGGGGGATCGTCGGATCTTGTTTTTGTAAAAGCGCGTTTCAGACGAACTGTGTCTCACTGGCAGCCTCGAACTCCCCGCTCCACCAGCCCCCTCCCCCCATCTGAAAGTGGCTTCACTGCTCACGGTCGATGCTCACCCCCCCACTCACACGCAGGCTCGCTCGGGCGAGCTACGGATTGACGCAATCATTTGGTGATGCTCTTACTGCTCTTACTGCTACTGCAGTTACTGCTGTTGCTGCTGTTGCTGTTGTTGCGTCGGCAGCGGTGCACACGCGCGCAGTGTCACGTGCGCAGCGTTGCTGACATCGCAGGCCCAAGACTGGAGGAGGACATTTCCACGCTTCTGGCCACTGCCTGACGAAGCTGGTTGTGACTTCCCAGCGAAAAAAAACGTCCACAGCATCCAATTGGTAAACTCGGTTGTGAATTCGCTTTCCAAACAACAACAGCAACCGCCATCGCTGTGGAGTGCTGAAGCGGTAATACTCCATAGGCGCGTTCGTGCGCTAACCACTGCGCCACCACTCCTCCAACCTCTCAATCTATTTCCAATTTAAAAATCTATCGCTTTCCTAATTAACGTATATCGCTTGTGTCTCGCTTACGTCAAATGGCTTCTTGCTCAGCCACGTTAATTAGCCCCCCACACCCTCAATCTTAATGAGGGTGTTGGCAGTCGGCAAGCAGCGCATTGCTCATCTCAATTACAAGTTGCCCTCGCTCTCTGTGGGATCGGTTTGCCAGATTTTGCGCTGTATATGCAGCGAACCTTTTTCTACCCATAATTCGCTCCGTGCGGTTTGAATTCACTCTACACGCCGCTGTGCGGTTGGACGTGGGACAATATTGATGTGTATTGTGTGTACTGTTTGCGCTACCCGGCAGGGAGCTGTCTCCTCGTGCGGTTTCGCTTTGTGAGCCCCCCTTTTTTAACGCATCTACTACTACCGACACAGAGCGAGGTAAACATGTGCAGTGGACTGTTCAAAATCGATTGACATGGATCATTAGCTTATTCCCATCACGATGCACGCATCCAGTCGCCGTGCGCGTGGCAGCCGAGCGTTAACGTTTTATGCAAAATGATATGTTAATGTTCTTGCCCATCGGCCAGTGGAACAAACGGCACTGAAACATGGGAGCTATTAGGTCATAGAAATGAGACGGAGCACACACAAAATACATTTTAAACGAGACAATATGACGACACGAACCAAAATGAGTGACCGATAATAGAAACGAGATAATAAACCGTACACGGCAAGTTCTCGCTTAACGTGTGCTCACACAACGCGATTTTCGCTATAACGCGGTTCTTTCATCGGGGAACACTTTTCACACAACGTAGAACGAGCCCGTCATAATGCGTAATATGCACCACCCCCGTTACAACGCGGTTTTTGAGCGGTCGATTACTAACTACTTAGTAATCGACCGCTGCACGGCTGAGCGGAGCGATACAGGGCACGGAACGATAAAGTAACGTAGCAGCGCGTATATAGAATCTCGCCATACTTTATCGTTGCGTTATTTATGGGGAAATTGTTTTCGCTTCAGCGCGATTTTCACCTAACGCAGGCCCCTTTTTCAGACACGCATTAACCGCGTCAAACGAGGG